CCTGAAGGTCGTGGGTTCGAGCCCACCATAAGACCTACTTCACGACTCCCACTGATGACTGCTGTCGTTGTGTCCTTGGGCAAGACACTTAACCCCACTTTGCCTGAAGCTCCCACTGAAAGATCTCAGCTTCTGTGGACTCACCACCTGCAGGAGGATCAGTGAGGGGCTGGTGCTATTTGGACTGGGTGCAGCTCTGACTGTCACCCCCCCGACCCAGAAATAGATTAAGGGGAAGAAAATAATTGGATGGATGGACGAAGTTGCTAACGGACAAGCAACTTCATCCCAATTTCAAATAACTTTTTTTTTCTGAAATTTGATGTGAACTAGACTAAAGGTGGAGCCATGAAGAGATAGAAGACTTCTAAAATAACATTTAATTTACATATGACTATAAATACCAATATTTTTTGTTATGCAATACATACAATAAGATAAATAAAATACATGTATCTAAGAACAATGTAGGGTAATGTGTGGGGAACCTAGATTTTGATATTGACTGGGAAAAATCCAGATATGAATCACATACGGATAATCAAACAAATGGCTTGCCTTAGCAACCATCTTAGCAACACATCTGCCACTGTCACGGTGCGATACTAATGCTGTCGGAACAAACTCTAGCTACTCTGGGCAGCCAGGTCGCTTGATTAAGAAGCTCATTTAGAAATTCCCCTACTTAGGCGCCTATAGGGTTAACCTGGCTGCCGCACGCATATCTGTGCAAACACCAGTGTATCTTTTCCTTGTTTCATCGATGCCTCATTTACGTCTGTGTGCCCAAAGCTTCAGTCGGTTGTGCGGACGTTTGCACACGGCCTGCGCACACGCAACAGATGTGAGTAAGTGATTAGCAGCAGCTGACTGAGGCCCTGAGCACGGACAAAGGCCAGGGTGGGTGAGGAAGGGGGAGAGTGGAGGAGAGACAGGCAAACAGTGTGTGTATGTGTGTGTGTGTGTGTGTGCCTCAGGTGTACCGTGGACTGACATTAGAGGTCATGTTGACAGATTTTCTCGGTGAGCGCTGGGGACAACGCGCAGCACTTTTGAGATTCCGCGACAGGACAGGAAGGAGGCGCCCGTGACATGTCGACAGACGCACACACACAAGCTGCCATTAGCCAATTTACTGACAATAATTAGACCTGAGACTATAGGGCCTCACTGTGCGCACGTGGACACACAAATGATGCTTAAACTAAAAAGGAGATGTGATCGACAAGACTGATTTTAATTCATAATGCCTGTCAATGTTTAAATGCTTACTCTAATTCTGCCAGTAGATAATTGTATGTCACATTTTTAAATACAGAGAAAATTAGATACTTTGTAAACCATGGTAATTGATCCATTTAAGTAACTTCAAGGTGCGGTACATAACTTTCTCACCACAAAAAATAAACTATGTAATGCAATCCCTTTTGTTCCTCGCTTTCAAAACAATTCAGTTTTAAACCCCACCATCCTCAATCAGCCAATCAGCTCCCAGCTCAAAGCAACAAATAGTGACTCACTCTCAGTAAAAATGCAAAAGTTAACATTAAAGGACCAGGTCATCCAGTATAAAAAAGTATGTGTTTGTTAAAGAAAAAAAAGTTAACCCACCATAGGTATCCCTCTAACTTATTTTTTAAATTAAGGTATTGAACTTAACTGAACCAATCACAATGAGTTTCCTTCACAGAGTAACAAGGCATCCTTTTAAGCTCAGTCACATGGCAGAAGCTTGGAGTAGAGTCACTACTCATACCTACTAAGCTGAGCGGAGCCAGCTCAGCCAGCTCAGGCCTCTGTTTTCAGGTGCCTCCTGAGCGTCCCTGGTTAGCCTTGTCCCACTCTGAGATATTCCCCTGGATGTTCAGGATAGGGATTAGGGCTGCACGATATTGGAAATTAGGGCGATATTCGATATGAGTGTTTTATGTTGTATTTCAATAACAATATTATTGTGATATGTTTGTCTTTCACCTAAAATTGCAATCTGCATTGAAACGCAAGAGATAAATAACAACATAAGCACAACATTAATGACATAAATGACATATTTATATTTAGAAATATATCACCCAGCATCTGCAGGGTACAAGATGCTGGCAGGGAAGGCCTACATGAAACGCCATAACCAAGTGGCTGGCATAGTGTACAGAAACATCTGTGCAGAGTATGGGCTGGAAACCCCAAGGTCTAAGTGGGAAACTCCTCCAAAGGTGGTGGAGAATGAGCGTGCAAAGATCCTGTGGGACTTCCAGATAGAGACCGACCGAATGGTAATGTCGAACCAACCTGACATTGTGGTGGTAGACAAAGAGCAGAGGACAGCCGTGGTGGCGGACGTGGCAATTCCAAGCGATGGTAACATCCGGAAAAAGGAACATGAAAAGTTTGAGAAATACCAAGGACTCAGAGAGGAGCTGGAGAGGGCCTGGAGGGTAAAGGTGACAGTACTGCCCGTGGTGATCGGTGCACTCGGGGCAGTGACCCCGAAGCTAGATGAGCGGTTACAGCGGATCCCTGGAAACACCTCGGACATCTCGGTCCAGAAATGTGCAGTGCTAGGAACAGCAAATATACTGCACAGAACCCTCAAGCTCCCAGGCCTCTGGTAGAGGACCCGAGCTTAGAGAGGGATAACCGCCCGCGGAGGGCCAAAGGTGAGAATTAAAAAAAAAAAAATGTAAATATACATTTCTATTTTTTTTATTGCGCATCTTTTCTATATGGATATCGCACGCACCAGTACGATTTTTTTTTATATATCGTGCAGCCCTAACAGGGATGTCAGTGCATCCCAGTTACTGGTCAGATAAGGCCTAGTTAGCACCGGGTGACCCACCAATAGTGGTCCGGAAAGCCTTCATTTATTTTCTCTGAGAGGTGTGGTTTACAATTGTTCACAGCTGTTTATTGGGCGCTATTGTATCAATTCAACCTGATGGCATATGACATTTGACGAGGAGGGAAGAAGCAAAAAACACAAATGATGTTGACACAATGGGGCAGAACGATTACCGCTGTTTGTGCATGTTAAACATGAGGGAAGATGGCTGTGTGCGTCTGCTGCCGACATGTTGGATCCATAAGCAAGCTTCCATTTGTGTCATCAACATCTAACTTGACCTTGTCCCCCCGCATTCAGTGACTGGTCCCCAAATCCATGCACGCATTTTGGCCTGAGTTTCCAGGCTTTTATGCAGTTTGATAATTTATCCCAGTTCAAGCTGAATTCTGATGACTTTTCCTAACTTGACCAGCCCTGGGTCATTTAGACCCTTTTAGACCCTAATTTAGGATATTTTTTTGTCTTTTAACCACAGTGACAGGTCATTTTGCCCTGAGGATAAAATAAATGTGTTGCGCATCGTTACCATCACCATTAGTTACCGAACCGAAGGGCGGCACGGTGGCTGAGTGGATAGCACTCTCGCCTCTCAGCAAGAAGGTCCTGGGTTCAAATCCCGGCCGGACCAGGGCCTTTCTGAGTGGAGTTTGCATGTTCTCCCCATGTCTCCCCTACCACTAAAAATATGTCCAATAGTTCTAGCATGCGCCTCCTGTACTGGCCCCGCTCCCATCTCTGTGTGGAGTGAGAGACAAATGCCCAAAATTAACAATTGTAAACCGCTTTGAGACTCAGATCTGCAGTGAAAAGGCGGTATATAAATAAAAACTTACTACTACTTACTTACTTCAACAAATCAAAATACATGTTCTGAATTCACATGACCTTGTCCAGTTGTTGACTTCCCTCTTTACAATGTAGCCGCCTTCCCCTCTCTTTTACACAACCCATGCATGAATGTATGAGGGTCCATAGGCTGCCAACCTGCTGCTCCGAGGGCCACAAACCTTCACCAGGCCTCATTCCTTTTCTTCTCAAAACACACACACAACCAGACGCTGGAGATGACTCCAGATATGTAAGGCTTTAATCTTCGCCCACGGTGTCGCTGCAGTATTACGGACAACAAAAGGCCTGATAAAGACGCAGTTTTAGTCAATTTGGCCACGGGATATGATTAGTAACGACCGGAGCCAGGTGAGATGCCCGAGGGTCCGACAGCGCAGATCGTAGGGGGAGAGTAGAGGGAGAGAGGAGAAAGAGAGAGAGGTGGAGCAGAAAAGAAGGAAAGACAGCAAAACAGGCCAGGATAAAAAGGAGATTGTTCGCTAAAGGGGCGTAAATACAGTCTGTTGGTTCTGGCTGAGGAGTGCTGGAGGTAATTACTAAATATAGAGGCATATACAATGAAGAACACAATGGCACCGTGACAATGTAGAGAGCAGAGCCGCTAACAGGCTTTAGATTTGAATACAAACTAGCTATGCCTATAATGCTACAGACATACAGTGTTCTGATGTATTGCCATGTGGAGAGAAAGCGTTGTAAAGGTTTTCCAGTATATTTTTCCTCCAGAAAGTGGGAACTAAATGTTGTTGACTTTTTTTTTGTCAATGTACAATTTGTTTTATGTGGACAATGAGTTCCTCAAACCAGTTGATTTGAGCCGGTTTAAACAATAATTCTTCGCACTTTACCCCAACCTTTTATAATCTTAATTGTGGATGGAAATATCTTTTAGAATAGATAAACATGAAAAGAACACATAATCTGCCTATTCATCGGAATTTATTCTGGGTGTTCTTTGAATTGGAGTACAAATATGTTAACAAATATGTTTTATCCATGGAAAAAATTGTATTCACACACAAAGCACAAATTCTCTTACAAGTGTATAGCATCCAATCCCAACAAAGCAAATAATTCTAGCCCTAAATCAGTAGTCACAGTAGTCATTGAGGAAGACTTTGTCGATTCACCAACGACACATCAGAGTATAACAGTTTGAACACAGGAAATGCAGGAGCCATTTGTCCATAGGGAGCAGGATGGCCGATGACCATAAATATTGATAAAATGCTGTTCCTCACAAAACAACAATAGCAAATATTATTTTACCCGCACAAAAAAATAAAGGCCCGGACCTGAAATGAGATTAATATTTCAACATGACAGCTATAGACAAAAGACATACACTCTGGTGGCTGAGGACCAGGATGAGCAGCTCGAAGGCCTCTCCTGGTCTCAGAGGCATGACCTTGTGGATTTGTGGCTCCTGCACCAGAGAGTTACACACCACACGCTTCTTCTTCACTCGAGGATTCAGATGGAAGGCCACGTCTGCCCTGGGAGAAACACTGCTGCCACACATCAGGTCCACCTGGAACATGCAGAACACCACAGGTAAAGCAGGTCTTAAGAAGAACTAAAGCAGAACTAAAGAAGGACTAAATAAGGACTGACCGGTCCACGTCTGTAGGGACACTTCCCTGGATCAGGAGCATCTCACTAGGGGCCAGTCCACCGAGGATTGTCCCAGATTTCGACCTATCGCAAGAAACTAATTTTAACTAATAACTTTAAACTAGATAAGATAAGATAAGATAGACTTTATGGATCTCATAATGAGGAAATCGACAAGTCACAGTTGGCATAAATAGTATCACTCCGACAGTGCAAAAGACAGGACATCTCTACTAACTTCTACACCACAATACAATGAATTGTGATAAATTCCATGTAACTGAGGTTTCTTTAGCTCTCAAAACAGTTTGATTCTGTCATTAGCGTTCTCATGCATGCATTTCTTTATCCTCTGTTACATCAGCTTTTTCAGACAAAAAAGGGAAAAAGAGAGAACCACCCTCACTCAGCCAATCAGCTCTCAGCCCAAAAGGTGACTCACAGGGCTCTGCAAACACTAACAGATAAAAGATGAAGAAAGCGTGCTGTGTTCTGATTTCAGGACTTTCTGTTGGGATAAAAAACATTTAAAGAGCTAATTTTCAAAAAAGGACTTTCAAAAGACTTGAAAATGTGTCAAAAAGTTTAAATCTTCAAAATGTTTTGATATTGGCAGTACATTTGAAAGAAATTGCTCAAGAAGGGGTGAAACTTTTTTTGGCACTAAATATGAATCTGGCTTTTAAAAAAAACGTATACAACAAACTGTGGAAAGGATGTTTTGAAAGTCAGTTTTCAAAAGAACAAATCATGAAACAAAAAGTTAGGTACCCCAGCTTTAATGTACAATTGAAAGACAGCTGTACTGATGAAACATGAAAGTATCGGTCCGTGTTAGCAAAACAAGCTGTAACAACATCGTTTTCCCATTTATGATCAACAAAGTTCTATCCAAAGACTGCAGCACACGCTCGGGACGGAGGAGTGGAGCCGGAGCCGCGGTTCAGCTCGGGGCGCGCAGGTTAATTTGCTGCTGTCTCCTTATCGCTGCGGTCCTCCCGGAGTCGTGTCATGTGCATCCCGCCTCTCCTGTCACACCGCCCTGAGAGGCACCGGGACAGCTGTAATGTAATCCCCAACTATGTCAATTAGCGGAGGGAGAACCGAGGTACTATCTGAACTCTTGTAGAGCAAGAGATCTGTTCATCTTCAACATGAGTCTATTTTATGTGGCCAAGTTTCAAGGGGAGCATTCTGATCAGGCACTCCCAGACTTTTCTCTGCTCATATTCAATAACATTTATTTGTCATGACTTGTTTTGTTTTTACCTGGTTTTATTTTTTCTAATTTCAGTTTTATTTTCTGTCTGTCCTGTCTTTTGTTCACCCCGCCTTGATGTGTTGCACCTGTATCTCCCTCTGTGTATTTAGACCAGGGGTTTCAATTTGGGATGACAAGGGACACTAAAATCCCCATAAAATGCGACCTTTATGAAAGCTGTAGGTTCTCTGTCAGCTGAGGTCGAGCTGTTTTAGTTTACATTGAGTTCTATGGGACATTTTTCTGGGTAGCCCTCGTGAATTTAGTCTGCAGTACCACGGGCGCCCCCTGTGCCTGATGGTGGGACAGATATAAGCTAGGAAAACCCTATCCAGTTATCATTATAGATCCATGATTTAGACCCTGTTCTCCTGTCCTCTAGTTGTCTATCCATTGTGGTTATTTCCCTATGTCTTGTTCCTGGTTTCAGTTTTTACTTACGGCTTTATTTTTTGTGGCATTTATTAAATTATGTTATTTTTGCAGTTCTGCTTTTGAGTCCTTAATTGTTTATCTGTGAATTTTTTTTTGTCTTGCCCTAATTTACGACATTTGTCATCTTGAAGGACTTTACAAAATTATGACATATAGTGGGGGAAAAAAAGTATTTAAGCGCCCACCAATGATGCAAGTCCTCCCATTTCATCATAGCATACCTCAACTATGAGAAAAGACATCAGGAAAAACAAAGATTTTTGTTTGCACATTGTGGTGGAAAATAAGTATTTTGTCAATAGCAGAAGTCCCCCTCAATACTTTGTAATATACACTCATATATATGATGAAAATTATACCTATATGATTAATATTACAGGCATCTCTGACTAAATACTGTCCTACTGCATCTCATCCAGGGAATACCAAGGCTACACTGCAGTCTTCCCCATGAGGCTTCCTCGCAGTGAAACATGCCTGGAACATCTCCAGACGGTGACATCCAGGAGGAACCCGAAACAAATCCTCTTCATCTTCTTTCGATGTGGAGTAGCAGCGACTAAACTCTGAGCTTTTTCCATGTGACTGAGCACCCTATCGTCAAGCAAATACAATAAAAGAAACATACAACCACTAACATCTTCCATTTGCAATCTCTCCAAAAGGAAGAACTATCCTTTTGTTTGAGAAAAAGCAGGCACAGAGAGCAAATATACTGTCAAGTACACACCATAGGCAGACTAGACTGTAATTATAGTTTGGCCCACTTTGTTACTGTATTTTCAGTGGAAGATGTAGTCAGTATCATTAACTTAACATTGATTGAGTTCAACAAGAGCTACAATGGCATGTTATACCTTATTAATCAGCAAGAAAACAACCGTTTAATTCATTCAAAAACATTAGTCTATTAGTCTCATGAGAAGAAAAAAATACTGAGTATTGTAAAAGAGTCTTAAAGACAAGTATACAGTTGAGAAAAAAGGCTCTACAAGAGCTGAGCGAGAGATTACACAGACACACACTGTACTAATCATGTCCATGTCATTCTAATAGTGGGCGGCATGACAGTCTATAACTTTGTAAAATAAGGACCATTTAGAAGCATTGTACTAACTGCGACGTCAGGAAGAGAGAAGTTGAACAAGCTGTTCCGACTTGTAGAGTGAAGACCCTCCTACTGAGAAAGTGTTCTAACATTTTGACAGGTAGTTTGTATCACTTAAGAGGCTTGAGAAATAGTGAATGGGTTTCTTTTGCCTACCTTGCTGCCTCACATCGTTTTGAATGGTAAGGCCTAGCACCAGAGTACAGCTGGACTTCTGCCAAAGGAGCAGACAAAAGTCTCTGGAGGTGTTTTGTAGTATTCGAGGGCAGCCGTCCAGAGGAAAACCTCAATTCAAAAACGTGTGGAAAAGAGTTGCTCATATTTTGAAGCCATGAAAAAGGCTGCAACTAATGTCAAACTAATATGAATGATCTGAGATTTAAAAGTCTAATGGAAACTGGATTGACCATTCAACCTTGATTGACCTTCTTACTTGCTAGCCAATTTCCCACTACGGCACATAGTCCAAACAGTTTTAACTCTTATATTAATTAAAGGTATATGGGAGGATTTTCTTCCGGGTGGATCATCTATTCTAGCCTATTGATCCTCCTAATTGTCAATCATTCTGGTGATATGTTTTAGTGGGTGTTCTCTCTGGACAGGGCGGTTCTTTCCTAAAATTTGGAAACATCCTTCTACATACGTTTAAGGAAGAGTGAGGTTAGTTGTTCACAGAATAACATGAACTGGTTACGCTGGTGTTAAGATTTTGTTTGTTTTTATTCCGGTCACATGGCTTTTTGCACGTCTCCAAATTGTGCAGCTCTTTTTCTCGGTGTGTAATGTCAACTGTAATCTGTGCTATATATCATTATCAACTAATATATATTTTGGCAGTATACGTATATACAGTACAGCCTGCCCTCCCTTTTAAAACCAACACTGTTATTGTTGTGTACATGTTTCCCATGGCCAAAAAACAAATCGTTTTGAAGCCCTAACCTCTGCTACTCTTTTATGCTCCACCATGTACCGCTTTCTCCCCCTGGAGACGTCCCTCACTGATGACATCGTCTCTCTGCGCGGGAAGTTGATGGATCCCCTGCTCCGTGTTTGGGGCTTTTGCTGTGGATTTGATGAAGTGGAGAGAAGGTAGCTGTGGGGGCAGGTGAGGGGCGCAAAGAGAGCCAAAAAACACCCAGAGCGCTTTGTCAATGTCGGGTATGAGCGCCCAGGGTCCCCGCGTGGCCCCGACAGAGATGAAGATGGGGGAGTGTATGTGTGCACGCGCCATCATAGAACAGGTTATCTGACTACAGCACCATCTATTACAGACAGACACATCTCCACCCCACATGGGAAGTCTGGCCTCACCCCCTCCCATGATCCTATCCGACCATCGTTGGACCTTTCGCCTGATGACCCACCCCAGATAAAGACGCACGGAGGAGGGAGAGGAGGCCGAACAAGGAGGGTTTGTTAATGGATGAGGAAGTTGAAGCTGACGTAAGCTTAACTTAAGAATGAATAAGAAAAGCAAAAGAATGTTATAATATTTAATAAATGAGGTAAATATATTTACAGAGGAGGGAAGTATTTCATTTAGGGCTGTAACTTATTATTTTGATTGATTTAGTTGGTCTTTTGATGAAGCAATTAGTCAGTAGATCCTAAAAGGTCAGTGAATATAGGATGTTTTTCTACATTTGACATAAACAAATGCCAAGTGATGCCTCTGGAGATTATCCTCATAGAGACGACTTGTTACACATTCGGGTGATTTCATTAAATTTCATTTGATTCTGCAGTCATTGTTCTCTGAGTCATAAAAAAACTCTTCTCTCCCTGTTTAACCCAAAGTATTGTTCATTATTTCAATAATCAATTAGTTGTGATTATTTGATTCACTTTTTATATAAATGACTAATTATCATGTTTCTCTCATGGTATCATCTTTTAGGTATTATAGGTTCCATGTCAACCAACCTTTGTGCTTTCCTTGGGTGAATTTCTTTTATCACATTATGATAAAAAAAAAAGTTTTTTTCATCTAAAAGGGGATGAAAAATTTAGCTGAATTTTGAGGATTTTTCCTAACTTTCCCTGCCCCGAGTCATTCAGACCCTTTTAGAACCTAATCTACTTTTAATCATCTATATTTTTTGACACAAGGGTAGCTTGAGGGTTAAGCTTGAGTAAAAGTCTCCAAGGCTCTCCAGGCTCATAACCGCATATTCAAATAATATAAAAAAATATCCTAAATAAAAAAAACACCGGGATCATACAGAGTGTTGAACCACAGATGTTTAAGCCCAAAATGATGAATGAGACACAAGCAGTTGCAGAACTTCATGGTTCAAGGTATGCTTTATTTTCCCCAAGGAGCAATTTGGTTGCCGCAGCAGAAAGACACTGCAGAATTACAATCATTGGTTTAAAATACCAATGGCAAGTTCTTTTCAATATAAATCCATAGCAACCAAAGCAAGTTGGAGAAAAACTTAACACACATGCACTTTCCTATTAGGCTTCATAGTTAGTGGGTTAGCATTGTCCATCCATCTACAGTTGAGTTTTTCATGTACTTGTATCGCACACTATCATCTAATAGACTGACGGAATAGGGTCTACAGCTGTTTGAAGTCTCTGCCCCTTTACTGCATCCATTCTCAGATTGCTGCTTGACTCTTGTCGATAACCTTACTGTACACCTCTGAACCAGATCCATCAGAAGACGCGCCACGGGGAAGCATGAAAAGACGGAAACATTTGTGACAAGATAACGGTCTAGAATAAATGGGGTGTGAATATGTAAAAAGCCATATACGCTTGAGACAGTTCCACTTTATCTGTAACACCCCAGCAGGAGTCCTCACAGCTTGGGGTCTTTCTATGTTTGCGATTAAAAGACCCTCCAAATCAGCACCATATAGAACAATGTGTGTGATATCATATGCAGACCCATACAAGACAAAGACAGACGGGCAGGGTGTTGGTGGCGGTGATGCTATACAGTCCCCCGGTTGTATTTCCGTCAAGGGCGAATCAGGGCTGTCAGAAAGCATCAAGCCCGGCTGCCATGGCAACCGCGTCAGCAACACAGCGAAGGTCACAAGATGGAGAGCGCTTTCGCCTCCTGCTGGGCCTCTGTCGGCAATGACACAGTGCTAAAGCCACGCAGACATGAGCCGTGACGCGCTGAGGGGAATTAGCACGAACCCAGCCAGAACGAGGAGTTTTGCTGTCGGTATAAGAACAAAGAACAAAGCCCGTTTGTTGTGACAGCAGACACATGATGAGCTGAGTTTTATTTAGGGGATAAAAAGATTGCCACAGTTTTAGAAGCAAATATGAATCCACGCAACATTCCAATGCAATATTTTAGGTGTGAATGCAAAGGATTAAATTTTGATCTGACTCATGTAGGTCGAAAGAAAGCCCAGTATTATTATTCTGCCCTATTGTCTGGTCAATATTTGCGTTAAAAGACTGTCTGTAGTATAGGCATTTTAAATTATATCTACATCTTTTATGTGTGTCTCAGATCTATGGATATTTTTGAACACTAGACATTGGTCTTCCCACAATCCTATGGACCATGTGTTTGTTTGTGTCTAATTATTTGATTCTCTTATCTGTTGTTGCCAAAAATGACATTTCGTAAAGTCTCCTGAAACGACTGCTGTCATTCCAAGTTTATTGCCTTAAAAATAAATATACGTAAATGTAATATCTTATCCTAAAAAAATAACTATTTTAGGGCAATATTAAAGGCACACCGCGGACTTTGTGACCTAAAGAGTTGACACATATGAGTTATTTTATATGAATACTTGGGCCAATATACAGCGCTTGACACTTGCAATGCTCCGAGCGGGGCTGCCCTCTTGAAATACCGCCCATGTAAGTTTCGAGCAGACGGACCGTCTGCCACCAGGTCACGTGACTTGGAAGAAAGACTTGCTTTACGGCTACAGGCGCTGATATACTCATGGAGCTAAGGCTTTTGCTACTCATTTTTCACCTGCTCGACTCCTGGTCATGGCTGAGGCAAGGAAAAATTTTAAACCTTCGGAGGAGGCTAAAAAGAGAAAACGCGAAAGGGATCGTGCTGTAAGCTGCATGTCTGTATGAGCGCTGCTCTTCACCTGGTTCCTGGATGTCATCGACCGCAAAGATGTCATTCCACGCAGCACGAGCTAGACGCAGAACTCCCTCATCCAGGATATAGAAGTCCATGTGTGGTAGATTACTAATGCAGCGGTCTGGAGGCTGACCACAGCAGAGTCTCTCAATATCTGTAGGCATGTCTCTACAGTTTGAACACACACACCAGTGCATGCTGTCTGAATACACACTCAAAAGACACCGGCTGACTGTTTGTTGACTTTTGCGACAGTGCTGAGTTGCTTGTGGCCACTAGGGGCGCTAAACGTGAAAGTTGCAGGTCTAGCGCCCCTAGTGGCCAAGAGTTACACGGTGTGCCTTTAAATACATGGGGCAACAGTAGATCAGTTGGTAGAGTGTTGGTCTTTTGGACCTAATGGTTCGATCCCACCACGACCCATGTCATCTGATATCTGCTGTCGTTGTGTCTCTGGGCAAGACACTTTACCCCACTTTGCCTGAAGTCCCCGCTGAAAGATCAAGGCCGTATCTGTGTTGAGAGAGCAGCCATCTTCCTGTGGACACACCACCTGGAGGAGGATCAGTTGCAGCTCTGATTACCACCCCCCTGACCCAGAAATTGATAATAAAGGGATGAAAATGAATGAATGAATGACTTTTAAATACATTTAATTGATCTTGTTGAATAAATCATGTTTGGCTTTTTCTGAACAAAAGTAAAAGGTATCCAATCTTTAAATCTTATCCAATCAAGGAGCAGAATTGGTCTCTCTCTCCTTTGCACTCTCTCTTTGCAGACAGTACAAAAATCCCTGTGAATCACTATTTGACTCTTTGAGCTGAGAGCTATTTGGCCTCCTCTCTTTTTCACTTGTGAAAACGTACATATAGGCCTATGTGGAAATTAACGATATAAGCAAATTGTTTTGAGGGAAAGGATGTTAAGGTTTGCAGAGGCAGGAGACTGAAGATATTTAACAAGTTTATTTACAGTGTGCAAGTGTTGGCAGGGAACAGACCAACTTATAGCTGGAGTGTAGACCAGAGACAGGAGATGACAGATGCAGGGACAAGACACAACCAGAACTGAAGAGATGAGGAAATGCACAAAACACGGCTGAGAGCAAATTATATCTGGATGAGCTTGATGCACTACTGACTGGGAGAATGATCTGGTGGAGACATGGAGAACAGAGAGAGTGAAGAGGTGCAGGTGTGTCTTGTGTGCAGTACAGGTGAAGCCGCCACGCCCTCCAGCCACACACATGCAACACAAAAACACTAGATGCAAACATAGGAAGTAGATAGATGGATATTTTTGTGGTCTGAATGTTTGGTAACCCACCACAACAACTTATGGTTTGCATACTTTGAATTGGAATTGTTATATTTGAAACATATATTACCACAATTAACAAGAAAACCAACTTAAACCAACACAAAGGCTGATCTCACTCGACTTTTCTCACTGTCCTCTCCCTCCTTTCTCTTCCTCCTCTATGTATCCCCTCACTCCGGTGCATTGTCTTTTCCTGTGTGCTGCTGTTGCTGAGTGATGAATGAGCTGCTCCTCTGTGCGTCCTTCTGTTGGTGTTTCAGTGATAGAGCCACAGTGGTCCAACCCTGTCCCATCAGCGCATCCAGGAAGTGGCCATTACAAGACCTCGTAGAAACAACACAGACACTGCGCAGCTCCTGAGATACTATTGATCTGGACAGGCCTTGTAGAGTAGATTAGGATGGGGTCCGAGACGGTAAATTAGGATGCGGGTCCTGGGACAAATTCTGACTCTCTAAACAATGATACAGCCTTTAATTACTCCATCCATCCATCCATCCATTTTCTACCCTTTAATCCATTTCTGGGTCAGGGGGGTGGCAATCAGAGATGCCACCCAAGTCTCATAGCACCAGCCCCTCACTGACCCTCTGCAGGTGGTGAGTCCACAGGAGGACCCTTTAATTACTCGTCCATTTCAATTACAATTACTCGTTCCATGCTAGTTCAAGTCCTTGGGTATATTGTCATATAATTGTCAGATGCTGTTGACAAATCATAAATAACATGGATCAAATGATGCAATTGCATGAACACTTGGCAATGCTAAAAGCCCTCGAGAAAAGGAAGTGGAATATCTTCAAGATTCTCAAATGTTGTCAAGAAAAATG